CTAACGTCACTTCTGAAACCCTACTATAAAATTGCAACTTTGCCGCTGCCTGCCGCTGCCTGCTGCTGCTTGCTGCTGCCTGCTGCTGCCTCTGCTGGTGTCTGCTGGTGTCTGCTGCTGCCTGCTGCTGCCTCTGCTGGTGTCTGCTGCTGCCTCTGCTGGTGTCTGCTGCTGCCTGCTGCTGCCTGCAGCTGCCTGCAGCTGCCTGCGGCTGCCTGCGGCTGCCTGCCTGCTGCTCCCTGCTGCTGCCTGCTACTGGTGCTGCTGCTGGCTGCTGCTGCTGCTGCTGCTGCTGCTGTGGTGCTGCGGTGGTGCTGCTGCAATCAAACAGCCCCCAAAACGTAGCAAAGGAACCCCAAAAAAGGGCCTAACGTCACTTTTGAAACCCTACTTAAAATTGCAACTTTGCCGCTGCCTGCCGCTGCCTGCCGCTGCCTGCCGCTGCCTGCTGCTGCCTGCTGCTGCCTCTGCTGGTGTCTGCTGCTGCCTGCTGCTGCCTGCTGCTGCCTGCTGCTGCCTGCTGCTACCTGCTGCTGTCTGCTGCTGCCTGCCTGCTGCTCCTTGCTGCTGCCTGCTGCTGGTGCTGCTGCTGGTGGCTGCTGCTGCTGCTGTGGTGCTGCTGTGGTGCTGCTGCAATCAAACAGCCTCCAAAGCAAGAAACACACAGCCAGACATCCTTTTCGAAACACATCCGAAACAGCAAAACACCACCTAATTTCGTACCCAAAACGTAGCAAAGGAACCCCAAAAAAGGGCCTAACGTCACTTCTGAAACCCTACTATAAATAAAATTGCAACTTTGCCGCTGCCTGCCGCTGTCTGCCGCTGCCTGCTGCTGCCTGCTGCTGCCTCTGCTGGTGTCTGCTGCTGCCTGCTGCTGCCTGCTGCTACCTGCTGCTGCCTGCTGCTGCCTGCCTGCTGCTCCCTGCTGCTGCCTGCTGCTGGTGCTGCTGCTGGTGGCTGCTGCTACTGCTGTGGTGCTGCTGCAATCAAACAGCCTCCAAAGCAAGAAACAAACAGCCAGACACCCTTTTCGAAACACATCCGAAACAGCAAAACACCACCTAATTTCGTACCCAAAACGTAGCAAAGGAACCCCAAAAAAGGGCTTAACGTCACTTCTGAAACCCTACTATAAAATTGCAACTTTGCCGCTGCCTGCCGCTGCCTGCCGCTGCTTGCTGCTGCCTGCTGCTGGTGCCTGCTGCTGCCTGCTGCTGCCTGCTGCTGCCTGCTGCTGCCTGCAGCTGCCTGCTGCCTGCTGCTGCCTGCTGCTCCCTGTCTTTTTCTCAATCTTTTCCACTTTTTCAATCTCCCACCAGCTCACCTGCTGCTGCTGCTGCTGCCCAAAAGCACCTGCTGCTGCTAACAGAAGAGTATCAAAAGCACCTCCCGGCACCAAAACAGCAAGGCACGGAAGGACGAACAGGCCCTGCAAGCCGAACTTCGCGTCGGACGCTTATCCGAAGACAACCATGCATTCCTACATGGCCGACCCACAAGAGGTCCGGGAAGCTGGTGCACAAAAACTCAGCAGCCTACCTGCGGAGAAAATACATGCTATCGCTTCTGCTGCTGCTGCTGCTGCTGCTGCTGCCGCTGCTGCTGCCGCTGCTCTTGCTGCTAGTGCGGCTAAACTTGCTTGTCTTTGCTTGTCTTATTCCCTGGCGCGCTCCCCCTTGCGTCTGCCGGGGTCGGCGGATAATAGAATAGAACTGGTGCTATGATCTCATTACACAACAAAAGTTCCTATGGATGAGGCAAACACCCTTCAGCAGCACACTACCACATCGAGTCGTTCGCAACGGCAGTATCTTAGTGTCACCTTTTAATCGCCCCCATAATAACACTACGAACGCAGAATCAGATCATCGTATATTGCTGTCTTTGTTCGTCAACATAGGTAGTGGGGGTCTGTATCTCATCTTCTCATCTTCACACCTTCTCATCTTCACACCTTCTCATCTTCACACCTTCTCTCACACCTTCTCTCACACCTTCTCATTTTCACATCTGCTCATCTTCACATCTTCTCTCACATCTGCTCGCACATCTGCTCATCTTCACATCTTCTCTCACATCTGCTCATCTTCACATCTGCTCATCTTCACATCTTCTCTCACATCTGCTCATCGTCACATCTGCTCATCTTCATATCTTCTCTCACGTCTGCTCATCTTCACATCTGCTCATCTTCATATCTTCTCTCATATCTTCTCTCACATCTTCTCTCACATCTTCTCTCACATCTTCTCTCATCTGCTCATCTTCATATCTTCTCTCACATCTTCTCTCACATCTGCTCATCTTCACATCTGCTCATCTTCACATCTGCTCATCTTCACATCTTCTCTCACATCTTCTCTCACATCTCCTCTCACATCTTCTCTCGCATCTGCTCATCTTCACATCTGCTCATCTTCACATCTTCTCTCACATCTTCTCTCACATCTGCTCATCTTCACATCTGCTCATCTTCACATCTTCTCTCACATCTGCCCATCTTCACATCTGCTCCTCTTCACATCTGCTCATCTTCACACCTTGTCTCACATCTTCTCACCTTCACATCTTCTCTCCTTTCTCTCTCCTTTTTCTCTCTCTCGCCTTCTTTATCTTTCTCTCTTTAGGCCGAGGGTGGTGCCGGCGGAGAGTCACGAAACGTCAACCCTTTCGCACGAAATGAGGGTCGATCGTAAAAAACTGATGTAAAATTGCGATTTTACTTGTGCCGGAGCAACCCTTTCGCACGAAATGAGGGTCGATCGGCAAAAACTGAGGTAAAATTGCGATTTTACTTGTCCTGGAGCAACTCTTTCGCACGAAATGAGGGTCGATCGGCAAAAACTGAGGTAAAATTGCGATTTTACTTGTCCTGGAGCAACTCTTTCGCACGAAATGAGGGTCGATCGGCAAAAACTGAGGTAAAATTGCGATTTGACTTGCCCCGGAGCAACCCTTTCGCACGAAATGAGGGTCGATCGGCAAAAACTGAGGTAAAATTGCGATTTGACTTGCCCCGGAGCAACCTTTTCGCACGAAATGAAGGTCGATCGGCAAAAACTGAGGTAAAAGTGCAATTTTACTTGTGCCGTTCTTGTCTGTGTGTAAAAGTGCCTGTGTGTAAAAAGCGTCTGTGTGTAAAAGTCTCTGTGTGTAAAAGCGTCTGTGTGTCAAAGCGTCTGTGTGTCAAAGTGTCTGTGCGTAAAAGCGTCTGTGTGTAAAAGTGTTTGTGTGTAAAAGTCTCTGCGTGTAAACATGTCTGTGTGTAAAAGTGTCCGTGTAAAAGCGTCTGAAAGCAGCTCCTGTCTGTAAAAAGGTCTGTGTGTAAAAGTGTCTGTGTGTAAACATGTCTGTGTGTAAAAGTGTCCGTGTAAAAGCGTCTGTGTGTCAAAGCGTCTGTGTGTAAA